TCTACTCACTTGTCAAAGTTTGAAAGATATAGCCAAAGTATAAGGTTACTAGTGTGGTTTCATGTAAAAAAAATATTTTTCTTATAATTCATGGTTCGATTTTGTCAATAAATATGCTATCCATTCTTTTTCATTTAATAATCAATGTTAACAAATATAGGGTTTAGCATTAATTAATTGGGTGTAAGTTAGTTATACACCTCGGGATACGGCGTGTCTGGATAAGAAACCCCTCCGGCCTCCGGCCGGCCGTCGGGGTTTCTTATCCAGACACACCTATCCCTCGGTGTATAACTATTACTGAAACCAGTGTTAATTAGACATTTGCGGAAACTATGTCTATACCTAGGGTTACACTTATACTTACGATTACAGTTGACGAAAAACAAGGGGTCCTCTCAAAATAAGAAAATAACCCCAATTGATATAGACAAAGTAAAATGAAATGATATTTTTTTTATCATGTAAATAAGTCTTTTCGACGACACACAAATGCATGCAGAAACTTATGGTCACAACAGATATGAATCGCCACAAAGTCCCCATAACATTGTGTGTGGGTTTTTTTTTAATTCTCCGAATGCGTGTTCCACCTCTTCTCTATAGTGTGTAACATGTCTATTTAATTTTCTACACTTCCTCTGCATAATCTGGGATTTGTCTCATGTCAGGTGTCAATACTGAATATCTGTTCGGATATATTTTGTCGCCTAGCAAAAACAGGTCGTGAAAGGTAATTCTTGTTCTATATTTCTTATCAACATATATTGCTGATGCCAAAGAAATCCGCACTCAACATAACATTTCCTGTCTTCGTTCAATATTACAAATTAAGTGTGAATGCAGTGACAATGTCTTCGTTCAATATTACAAATTAAGTGTGAATGCAGTGACAATGTCTGTGTCCTGGGAAATACTTTTCTAAGACTTTTAGTTCCGTTATCGGCCACAAACTTTCCGTCGATAGCCCTACTGCAAACGGAAGTTATGGCCACCCACCTTGTAAGTTCTGCCAATCATCCAGTGAAAGAAGGCCAATAGATAAGACGGTTATATGTTTCTTGAAATAGGTATACATGTATGTGGTTTTTTTTTCTTTTATAGTCGAAACACTAAGGTCAACTATTTCAGAAATCAGATGACAAGACGGATAACCATAACATAAAAGAAGAATTCTGTTTCCCGGGGAAAGCTTATGATCCCGACCGGTTCTCTGTCTGAAGAGACCATTAACATCGGCTACAATTTAAAGTAACGTTTCAGGAGTTTCACATGTAAAAAGAATATCGTTTGCTTGCAAAACAAGTGATCACATTTCCCTATTCCAAAAGTATACATCATTGCCTATAATATTTCCTGTTTATAAAAGATTGGTTTGTCGTTGGTCAAGCTAGGACTACCAGTGTTAGAATCAGATGGCGAATGAAATGTATACCTTACATCTGGTGGAGTCTACATCAGGGCAGGTAGTGTTGTCATGGTTAATCTGTGTTCTTCGTCCATAACGGGGAAAAATAAAATAAATGCACGAAATACAATTATCATTTATTCATTTTTCCGTATTAATAGTTCCACTCGCTTTACAAAAGCGGGCGATATATAGTAATTGGAAGTCGTACATCTTTTATACGATTACACTTTTGTATTCGCAAATGCTCCTTAACCGACTTAAATTACGTGTGATTTATTTTTTAACAATAGAGAGGTTTAGCATCGGAACTTGTACGTGTGCGTGTACTTGTGGCTTGGGAAAACCCCCGATTTCCTGCGTATTAAGTCATCAATTTTGCCTGGCGGTGAAACGTACAAGTCAGGGGCAACGTGTAAAGCGGCGGCTACACGAAGGTAAGAACTTGTGGCTTCTTTTTCTTACAACACAGATATTCGTCATAAAGTTGAATATATACAGGAACAAGAGAATTTACCCGAAATAATAAAAGTATTTTGAGCCTTTAAAACGTTTCTTTGACATCAGGACGGAACAGCAAAGGTGGAACGCATTCGACGGAAAATGGCGGCATATTGAAGGTCCTTCCGTTATCAAAAAATACTTTATAATAACCTCTAAAATTATTTTATAGTTACCCTATAGTTAAAATGTTCCCCGACGAATAGTACTACAGTATAAGAATCATTTTCAAGAAGTAAACTAACTGATTTCCAGTTTGTTAAAAAGAGGGGGGCGTGAACGGTATCGGGTCCGTTCGCCCTAATTACATGTTCGCCTTTGGTCCGTTCGCCCTGAGTCCGTTCGCCCATAGTGTCTGTTCGCCCTCGGTCCGTTCGCCCTAATATTTATAAAAAAAATAATATTAATGGTTTAATTTGAAGTTTTGTAATTAAGACTCCCAAACGAAGTTTGGGAAGACTTATTGTTTTTGCTCAGTTCTTCTTCTTCTTCTTCTTCTTCTTCTTCTTCTGGTGCAATCAGGGTTTTGTTTGTGCAATGGGGTTTATAAAGGGGTACTTTGAGGGGCAAAAAGAAAAGAGGGTTTTACTATAGAACCCTATGGGATTTTATATTTTAAAATTTTCAAATGATTAGAAATTGAAAACCGTTTGTGATAGACATAATCTTTTTAATTTAAAATGTTCTAAATGATAAAGCCCATTAAATGAAATACAGGGTTAGTCCCCATGGGTCACCCCACCCCCTGCCATTTAAGAAAGTTCTAATACCTTGTAAGTGGTCAAGATCCCCACCCCTAAACCATATATATTTTGGTTTGTCATGCTAAGATGGTTTGAATAATATACAGGGTTAGTCCCCAGGGGTCATCCCGACCCCCTGCCATTTGAGAATGTTCTAATATCTTGTAAATGGTCGAGATCCCCACCCCTAAACCATATATATTCTGGTTTGTCATGATAAAGCACATCAAATGTAATACAGGGTTAGTCCCCAGGGGTCACCCCCACCCCATGCCATTTAAGAAAGTTCTAATATCTTGTAAGTGGTCAAGATCCCCACCCTTTAACCATATATATTCTGTTTTGTCATGCTAAGATGGTTTGAATGATATACAGGGTTAGTCCCCAGGGGTCATCCCGACCCCATGCCATTTGAGAAAGTTCTAATATCTTGTAAATGGTCGAGATCCCCACCCCTAAACCATATATATTCTGGTTTGTCATGATAAAGCACATCAAATGCATGTTGGTCCCCAGGGGTCACCCCCACCCCCTGCCATTTAAGAAAGTTCTAATATCTTGTAAGTGGTCAAGATCCCCACCCCTAAACCATATATATTCTGGTTTGTCATGCGAAGATGGTTTGAATGATATACAGGGTTAGTCCCCAGGGGTCATCCCGACCCCCTGCCATTTGCGAAAATTCTAATATCTTGTAAATGGTCGAGATCCCCACCCCTAAACCATATATATTCCTGTTCGTCATGTCTCGAACATTTGAATGACGTATAGGGTCAGTCCCCAGGGGTTCCCCCCCACCCCCAATGTTCTAGTATCTTGTAAATGGTCGAGATCCCCACCCCTAAACCATATATTCTGGTTTGTCATGCCAAGATGATTTGAATGATATACAGGGTTAGTCCCCAGCCATCACTAATGCATATAAATTTACTGGACCAAACCAATTTTTGCTGGACTTTGCCCAGTGTCAGGCGACCCTGGGAATTACGAATTATGGGAGTTTCGTTTGAGAGACTTCGTAACAGCATCCTGTTACAATCATTTCTTGTCTTATTCAGGTATTTAAATGGTAAATATTATAAATGTATATCTCCAAATTCATGAATAAACATTGAAACTAAAAAATAGGTTTTTGTTTTGGTGCATTAATCAGGCTAATTGGCTTCATTGTTACATTTGTTTTTATTCAGAATTACTTTTAATGACTGTTGATTGTAAACGCCAGACACACGTTTCGTCTACAAAAGACTCATCTGTCACACTCGAATCAAAAATGTTAATAAGGCCAAATAAAGTACGAAGTTGAAGAGCATTGAGGACCCAAAATTCCTTAAAGTTTTGCCAAATACAGATAAGGTAATATATTTCTGAGATGGAAAAGCCTTAGTATTCCGAAAATTCAAAGTTTTGTAATTTTGAATGCTGATTAGATATGTTTACGATGTCTTTGATTAATTCAAATAATTTATATTATACAAGACAACAAAATAAAATAGAAATCAGGGCGAACGGACTCAGTGCGAACAGGAATTAGGGCGAACGGACCCAGGGCGAACAGGTATTAGGGCGAACAGGTACTAGGGCGAACGCGAATCAGGGCGAACGGACCCGGATTCTGCGTGAACAAGTGCGTGAAAAATTTCCGATTGAATGAGAGGCATATTCATAAGACTCTTGAAATACTCTTGCAGAATTAAATTATAAAGGAGAAGACACACTTTTGGTGCTTTAAATATATTTTATTTCAGTGAAAAAGGGGGGTGGTCATAGATCTAATTTCCAGGTTGACGCAAGACGCGTCCGGGAAAGATCACATTTGCTGATAGATCAGAATAAAAAAAAAACCAATGCTGAATCTTCGAAGAGGTATTTATACTTTTATAAGCATTTTATGATTTCTTCAAAGAAGAAAAGTTTTTAACCTTTTTTTTCTCACCCATAACTCCTACATCTCTCTCTCTCTCTTGACCCCTTCCGCCTGACTGCCGCTTCCCTTATTTCCAACCCTGTCCACCCCTCAGAAAACACTAATTTAAAGCACTTTTTAAGTGTTAACAAGTCTGTATAAAAATGTATAGCATATGCAGCCATACTACCAGAATAAGTTAGCATTTGTGTGTAGTTTTTGACAAATACATTGGTACAATATGAAATGTTGCAAATAGATTTTGCAATTGTTAGATTCTAATATTTTATTTTTTGGTAAACTTAAGCGCTTCATGAACTGTCTTTGAAATAAAAAAATATGATGTTAAATATAATCATAGCAATGTTTATATTATTACTAAATTTTAAAATACATATAAATCTGATTTATATGGGAATTATCATGAATTCCAAAAAACTCTTTTACAAAGATTGCATGTGACGTCAGTGTTCTTGTTAATTTTAATACAGTTTTATATTATTATTCCAGTTCAGGGATTGATGAAGAGTATGGAGAGAAAGAAACTCTACTGGATGAAATTCTTTCATTGGTGGAGAATGAAGAAAAACAGAAAGAAAAAGAGAAAAAGGAAACAGAAGAAAATCGGGGAAAAGACATTAGAAAAAGAGCAATGGAAAGCTTAACTCCTAAGAAAGGTACATACTTGTTATCTTATAACATGTCCTATTTGTTCAGTGTTTAAATAATGGTTACGGTATCTCTTTTACATGTTTTTTTGGGGGGAGAGGTTGGGTACAAGTAACTGCATGCATTTCGTCAACTTCTGGTTGCCCTGACACGAAAGTGGTCGCCTTTGGCTTGTGAAGTTTTTCTTCCTGAACATGCAAGTAAATAACAATAATTCAAGGAATGATTTTATCTTAGTCAATACATACTTGAAAAGATTACAGAATGAAATATTTCTGAATGTTGGGAGAGTGAATGGAAATGTTGACTGTGTCAAAGTGACAATAACAAACGTGTATCAACATATATAGGCTACCAGACTAAATAGCTACCAGACTAAATAGCTACCAGGGTATAGCATGTGATGATGCACAGTGATGACACAACCAGCGAGTAAATTTATAGTTTAGAACGGCCCATTGGTGTCGAACGATAAGGAACCATCACCACCGGTGGTATAGGCTGTATCTGGCTTGTTCCAAACTTTACATCATAAAAATGAGTTCGATCCAACAATTAATGTCTCTTCTGACTTCAGAGATGCTCGTGGACCAATTATTTGAAAGCCTAAAACCTATTACATTTTTTAACAAATTCTGTCTATATATTTCAGGTGATGATGAATCTAACGACGCCACCCCGTCAAAGAGAAACAGTTCTGGAAATATTGTTGGGTACTTAAAAGAAAAAAATGAGGCCGAAATGGTATACCGAAGGCAAGAACTTGAAGTAAAAAAACAGCAACTGCAATTGGAGGAGGATAAATTCCAATTAGAGAAACAAGAAAGAATTCAAAAACTGGAAAACGACAAACAAGAAAAAGCACTATACCTGGGAAAATGCCTTTTTCTCTTTACATAATGACAAATGCAGTAATTCGTCGGAGTCTTCTTAGGCTGCTAGCACTTTCAAGTTTTCCGCCATAAATATCAAATATAAAACAAAGACATTTATTGGCAACTATTTCATTGCTTTCAGCCAATGAGATATGATGATGCATTACGTCTTTTACACGTACACGTATACGTACGACTTTGCTAAACACAACGTGGCATGATAAAAAAATACGACTACGTGTACTTCTATTCTACACGTACGCGTTCACGTACACGAACGATTGCTAAACCTCTCTAATAACGTTTAAATCTTTCCAAATAATGTAAACGGTATTTTTCTACTGTTTTTGACGTTAATGATTCATGTAGTAAATATCACGTTGGCGATTTTTTTTAAATATCAGCTTATAATCTATTCCTAATGAAAATTTTTAATATGAAAATATCTCGTTATAAATGATGTGTGATGTGTTTGATTAAGATTCGGATCCAATCAATATTCGTGTGCATTCAAATATCCTTAAAAGCAAAGATCATTGAAGTCAAGAATGATGTAATATAGTTTTATTTAATAACATATAACTACTTTATTTCTAAAGAAATAAAAAAAAATCCTCGTTTAAAATTTTTTTTGACTTGCACTTTAAGATAATTTTACACAATTTGTTCATCATGTTTGCTAACATTTAAAAATCTTCACCACTGAAACTACTGGGCCGAATACTTCTAAACTTTAACTGAATGTTCCTTAGGGTAACTGGTTCATAAATTGTATCCGAAGTTTTCATCCATTAAGAAACATGGCCGCCATGGCTAAAAATAGAAAATAGGGTTCAAATGCAGTTTTTGGCTTTTATATCAAAAACTATAGCACTTAGAGTAAGAGTGACATGGAGTTAAAGAGACAAATAAGTCAAAATCTATCTGCTATGAAATTTTCATACCAATTGGAACACCCATTGTAGGGTTACTGTCCGAAATAGTTTATTTTTATGAAATTTTACTGTTTTTGGTTATTATCTTTAATATTATAATAGATAGCCAATGCTCCGTGTTGAAGGCCGTACCTTGACCTATAATGGTTTTCTTTTATAAATTGTAACTTGGATGGAGAGTTGTCTCATTGGCACTCATACCACATCTTCCTATATCTATTTGGCTTATATCTCAAAATATATGAGATTCATCTTAAAAAAAATAGTTAACGTCCTAAATTTGGTCCATTGTATCTGGAATTTCCCGATCTATAATTATTAAATTTGAACAATGCACTGAGTGATCAACGTCTTGAATCAAATATTTTATTCGAGGACTGTGTAAAAAATCATTTATTTATTTGAAATCGTTGACTCGTAAATTTATGTCTGCGTAACGCAATAAAATGATTAACATGTATATTTCCATTTATTGAGCCTTTAACCAGTGGACCATATTATATGATTTTACTTACATATTTATTCGATTTTTTTTAGTATACTATATAGGTTTGGGTTTTCCTTAGTCATTTCCATCAAATCTATTGAAACGCATCCTACGTTTATTCAGAATATTGTTTTTAGTACGTGTGTACTCCAATTAATTGATGTATTTTAAATGCATTTATATTACGCATATAGATCATAAATATATAGTGTCATTTTGAAATACAAATCACAACAAGAAAGTATTAAATTTGTTTTTTTTTTATGTTAAAATGTTCAATCTATTCAGTCGTGAATATTGTTAAATAAGATGTTAACACATGACTGATTTTACGTAAAGAATAAATATAAATAAATATAAATCAATTGTTTTAAAAATAATTGTTAAACGGTCTTTCCCCTCCGAAACATGATTAATTGTTTTTTTGGTTGGTTGGTTGGTCGATTGATTGATTGATTGATTGATTGATTGATTGATTGATTGATTGATTGCATGGCACTTTCTCCGTGCGACGCAGCTAACTTAAATAACGCCTATATTCTGACCGAACGTGACTGCGTACTTATACATCCCGCACAGCCAAACGGACGCCTGAGATGTCCTCATAAAAATTTATCCTAGCATCATTCGTTTATAAATTTTCTCTAGTTTCTATGTTACCTCGGACTTCCATTTTTCATCTATTTGTTGTGTATGCATTTTGATTGAATTTGTAGGAAAACGGAGTAAATTTTATCTTGGAAGTTTTATTTTCCTTATTTGGATATGGAATGTTTTATTCTAAATTTAGGTCCGCGCGAGAGATGGTGTTGTGAAGTCACGTGACCCTCGAATATATATGTCTGGAGCACATGTGTATTGATTAGAGAAACACGATAACTATTGTTTTTATTTTGTACAGGTCATTGATGTTGGATCATGCATACATATTACGTACACATGTTTACGGGAGCACAGATTTGTATTTTAATGCATGTTTAGAAATTTGATTGTAGGATTTCAGTAATATTTACGAACTTGGGAGGGATTTCTACAACATCGATTTTAATTTCGCAATCAAGCGGACCACACGCGTCTCATCTATTAATTTCAGAAAATACATGAATTGGAGCAGATTTTTGCAGGGATGGATTTCTATTTCAGAAAGAAATTTGTACGTAAGAAGGATTAGCATTTTACAGTATAATGTACGGGACTAAAAGCGATTTTCTTTTCATAGAAATGGGATAACTTAAAAAAAAATCAGTTTAAAAAAAGGGGGGGGGAGTGTAGTGGGAGACTGTGGTTGATAATTGAGATAAGAAACATTTACAACATGATAGCTGCAAAGTTTGAAGTTTTGATAAGTAATTTGTTGATTCGACCATAACAGGGACATTGACCCTGCAATAAAATGACGCGTACCATTTCAACAAAAAAATTTCTAGTAAACACGTGTCGTGACAAACTTTTTGGTTAAATTGTTTTGTCGATATCTATTAATAACTCTTTCTAGGAAGAAGCGATATGAACTTAATGTAAAAAATCACAACATGACCTTGACCTTTGACCTTGACCTAATTTTCTTATTTTTGGATCAAGGACCTCAAATCTAAAGATCCTAGGTCTCTATCACTTATGGTTTACAAGATAGAAATGCATATCACTTATATCAAATGCATAAGGGGAAATAACTCTCATATGGAGTGTTCGTATGGTTTCGGTCAAAATTGAACAAATCATGCGAAGGATATAAGGAGCAATTTTATAAAATAAATTTGTCGCTTTCTTATACGGTTACGGAGGAGATGCATCAGAGAAAACAGTGTTCGGGGAGATAACTCCTACAAAGAAAAGTATTCGGTTAAGCAGGGTCAATTTCAAAAGCGCAATAACTGTTCGATATCATATGCAAAAAATCTAAGCGACATCTTGTAAAACCACAATACCCCGCAAGAAAAAAAAGTGGCGGAAGAAGAAAAAAAAAAAATAATAATCAGAACAAATACAATAGGTCTTTCCACAGAAAAGTGGAAAGACCTAAATATGTTATAAGCATTTAAAGATACTGTAGTAATGTCCTAAGAGGATTGGATGATCAAGTAAAATTTTTGCCAATGCCATCTAAACAAATTAGATCTAAGTCTGATTTATAGTTTTAGGTGCTGTGGTGGTGTGTAAACAAATTGCTGAAACTGATAAACATCATAACTAGAATCTTCACTGAAGAATAGCGTAAAGGATAAAAGAAAAAGAAAAAAGTGAAAATATAAATAGAATAAAAATTAACATTGATGAAGGGTTGAATATATTGTCATGAAAATCCCATTACACTGTAATATTGACCGCTGAACGTTGTAAGACGATTGTGTTGTCTAGCATGTGACGGATGTCAATAGAAGGCGAGATAAAGGGAATCCCAAATTCAGACCTTTATATTTGTTGTTGTCTCGGTGTTATCGAGTAGTGTGTCCCTCTCGAGTGCAGGAAGTCCTTGGTTCGATCCCCGACCCGGACAAACCACACTATAAATGGGTATTTGTTACTTTCTAGCTTAGCACGCGGTACTTTTGAGTTAGAGCATAGACTAATGAGACTCTGAGCATTTAGAGCAAAAGTGAAAGGTTGTTAAAGTGATAAATGGGTCATGATCTATCTGTTATGAAATTTTCAGATAAGTTCAACAACTCATTGTTGGGTTACTGTTGGAAATAGTTTATTTTTATTAAATTTTACTGTTTTTGGTTATTATCTTTAATATTATAATAGATAGAGAGAAAGTATAAATGACAATAAATGTTCAGCTAAGTAAGATCTACAAATAAGTCAACATGATCAAAATAGTCAATTCACCCCTTACGGAGTTATTGCCCTTAAAACTTTTTTTTTTATATTTTTTGTGAAGGTCTAATTACTTTTATAAAAATCTTCTTCTCTGAAACTACTTGGTCAAATACTTAAAAACTTTATTTGAATGTTCCTTAGGGTATGTAGTTTATAGATTGTATTCGGGGATTTGATCCATTCAAAAACTTTGCGGCAGTTTCTCAAAATAGAACATAGGGGTCAAATGAAGTTTTTGGCTTTCATCTCAAAAACTAAAGCAGTAAGAGCAAAACTGACATAGCTGAAAGTGTTAGATCTACCTGTCAAGTAATCTTCAGACCAATAGGACAACTTATTGTTGGTTTACTGTCAAGAAATAGTAAATTTTTCGAAATTTTTTACAGATTTGGGTTATGTATTATCTTTAATATTATCATAGAAAGATAGAAAGTGTAAATGACAAAATTGTTCAGCAAAGTAAGATCTACAAATAGGTCAAATGCCTGACACTGAAATTACAGGTGAGCGATATCAGGCTCTCATGAGCCTCTTGTTATAGGTTACTAAAAAGATTTAAGAAATTAATCATGTATATGATAATGAGCTTTACATGTAATAAATTATTGTATGCGGATGAATTCTCACTCTCTTTTTTGCATGTAATAAATTGTAGCTTCACTAACCATCAGGATATAGTGGTGTTAACAGGGTGAGACATTTAACGTTAAAACTTTTATATTAAATACCTAGTTAATATTAGATAAATAAAAACGTTACCATTAATATGCATTTCAAAATTATGCATGCATTCATTTTGTACAAATATCTATTACAGTATTATTTTTCATCAATTTAAGTGGAATATGTTAAAAAAACATTTCGTATTGTTATTTTTAATTTAGCTTTTACAAATTTTTATACAATACTTAAATGAGCATTTTTACCAATTCGAGTATATCATATATATATATATATATATATATATATATATATATATATATATATATATATAAAGTGCCTAGAAAATCAACCTAACAATGTTAGAGTAGATTTGATTCTTTACTTCCTCCCCAAGCGGGGCTGGAACCTGTACTTTTCACTTCATACTTCTACGGCAACACCGCCTAGCATTGCGCAGACGCCTTATCCCCTCCTCTAACTATAGCTGATTAGTTAGAGGAGGGGATAAGGCGTCTGCGCAATGCTAGGCGGTGTTGCCGTAGAAGTATGAAGTGAAAAGTACAGGTTCCAGCCCCGCTTGGGGAGGAAGTAAAGAATCAAATCTACTCTAACATTGTTAGGTTGATTTTCTAGGCACTTTATAAATATTCTAAAGCCTGGCATTTCTTAATCATAAGAAATCCGATGGACAAGGTATAATTTACAGTTGTCACTACACATAGGCAGACATATATATATATATATATATATATATATATATATATATATATATATATATATATATATATATATATATGCTTTTTCCTTAAATAGTGTGGAAGATCGTGGGTTCGAACCCCGATCAGGTCGAACCAAAGACTTTTAAATTAGTATTTGCTGCTTATCCGCTAAGCACGCGGCATTAAGGAAAAAGAGCAAAGACGGTCGGCTCGGAGACAGAATAATGTGTCCGGGTAAGGTGACATGTCTTCCTGCGGACTGTTACGTTGTGAATTAGCACATTGAAGACCCATTGGTGGCCTTCGGCTGTTGTCTGCTCTTTGGTCGGGTTGTTGTCTCTTTGACATATTCCCCATTTCCATTCTCAATTTTATTAAATTCATATTACATTAACATGTTCTTGTCCTGAATATGCATATTAATTTGCCGCTAGACGTTAAGCAGTCATGCATCATCATCATCCTTAAATATTCATAATAACCTTCACGTATTGAATATCTAGTAAAAGGTACACTTACCCACACAAGGCCTGCATTCACTATCAAATGCATGTAATTTAAACCTAATTTAAACTATATTCATCAATTGGAACGTGGTAGACTTTAGTTTACGTGTTGAGGACTACATTGTTACACCACACCGAGTTTAACTCAATGTGAACATAACTTTATTATTATTCCAGCAGTTATTTTAAATCACTAGTTACTTGTTTTCTGACTACTATTAAAGAAAATATTACTAGTTTTCAATTTAGAAATAAAGCATATGAAAATACAATGGAATTAATAATTTTGAAGTGTAAAAAAAAAACTTTGGATGTTATTGATAAATTATCAGATAATATATGGTTGGCAGTAATGACTTTCAACTCTATAATTCACTTCCTTTCAATCTCATCAAACAGTTGTTTTCTTATTTAATCAAAATGGTCCATCGAAAAGATCTCAATGCAAATGTATTTGCTGCAACTCATAAAACGATAAATATGCTAGATAATATGCTCACATGGGCTGTGATGGGATTATGAAAGCTGTAAATGTTCTCCTCGACAAACAATTAAGTCAGCGATTTCATTACCATAAATAAATCAAAAGCATTAACGAATTCCTTTTAGATTTACTACTTATATTTGATTTTGAAATGAAATTCACACTTTTTGAATGTTGATGCGTCAGGAGCGCTATTTTATATTTAGCTTCATCAGGATCGCTCCACCTGTAGAGACATTATTGTGTCTGTCCAAATTAAGGAACATATATACTCCAGTGTCTGTCTGTCATTATTAATTGCAATTCGATTATTGTTGCAATTTAAATCATTAGTGTCTTGTTGTACCTAAAGCCAATGTATCATATATGTTCAGTAATTCCTCTCGATTAATCCACCACAGTGCAAATTGAGCGGACCATGCTAACTACACTTTGTAAATGTTTTACTTTACATCCATCAAGTGTTCCCCTTGGTAATTGAATTAGCCCCGGAAGTTTATTCGATCGAGGGTTATTACCCCAGGCCTTAAAGGGTCAGTCCATCTAACCTACCCTCTATTTTCAGAAATCGCATTTTCCGACCTTCATCCAGAATAACATACTTGCAGACCCTACCTTTAATATAATATAAACTTGGTTTTGTCCAAAATATTCATGAAACTTTTGCCACATTTGCATTTGGACGATAATAAACAACCTTCAGACAATACTTTATCATTGAACGTCATCGAGTTAAGGATGATCTAAGTAAACAGTACGATAGTTTTTCATGTACTATGTATTATCGTTTTCTAGTCTTTAAAACTTTTTTTACAGAAATTAGCGCTATGCAATCAAAACCAACCCATTCAATTGTCATTTTGATTTTGTGTCGCTGGATTACTGACTTCTTGACGCCAGTGCACAGCACAACTTTTTCTTATTGAAAATGGAAAAAAAAGATAGAAAAGAAAAGAGGACAATTACGGTTGTAACAGTTTTCAGTTTTTTGATTTTGTTGATATTTTTTTGTATTTTTTTTTTGTATTTTTTTTTTGTATTTTTTATATGAAACTTATATGGGTCTTACAATCGATATTTTCATAAAAACTGATTGGTCGATTTTCATTGAAAAAACAAGTGGTGTCAGTTATGTTTATGATTATATGCACAGTAGCTGGTATAGTAGGCTGATGGATACTAGTAGCTTGAACAAATGAAAAGAAAAAAATCCTTAACCAGTGAATGAAGTCAAATTAAAAAGTTGAATTGTCGCCCGTTGACTGTTGTTTACATGTTTTAAACAATACAAGGATTAATAATGACAGAAACCACTGAAATATCCCTATAATATTATCACATGCGTATGGCAGACAGGTTTGAATTAAACATGCAAGTTAGTCAAACTACATTTGTGTATAGATACTGACAAAGTTACACAGTAATTATCGAACATACTTATACATGCATTACATGATCTTCCTGCCTAATCATTCAATACAAGTAATACAAAAAAGCAATGTTGGCTGAAGATATATTTCTTTTTTATTATTTCCAATATACCCCCCCCCCCCCAAAAAAAAAAAAAAAAAAAATCAAAAAAAATCGGAACTTTGAACTATCGAGCGCATTGTAGGAACGTTAACGTTATTGACCATTTGCTTCATTTAAGGTAACAGGTACGTAAATGGCTTGTCCAGCGATTTTTTTAAGAAATTGTATACACGTAGAACTTTTTAAAATACAAAGAAAAATCGAAAAATTTAAGTGGGTAACCGATCTACTTTAAAAGTTATAGTCATTTAAAAATGTTAGGAAAACACCATAAAGTACATAGACATAACGTCAAATTTACGCCAAAAATGAGAAATTTCAAGCTTAATTAAATCTGCAGTTAAAACCATTCGTACGATTTTTCTATAAAAATTAAATGTTTTTATGATAGAATTTTCCTTTCTATTGATATATAATTTTCCTATGGTTACCGGACTCCCTTTTTATATATCAGCCGTTGAAAGGGTGTTGCCGACGGGAAAAGATAGAAATTGCATGACGTCGCCGAAAAATATTACGCAACGTCAAATCTCCATCAGCAGAATCGTCGTCTACCAAAATAGAAATATTGTCACACAAAGACAACGACCGCTTCATAAAGGTGTCTCTTTGATTATGATTTGTTCCTCTAAACTTATGCGCTATAGCGCCTATGGAATAATTATCCTGTCTGTATTATTTACCGATTATTATTTTTTTGACGGATTATATGAGACCCTCGACATGTATAACTTATGTCTTCAATCAGTGTGGGGTTTAGATATCTACGTCAATGAAAAAAAACATTCCCTTGAATTTGACAGTTGTAGGAAATTAATCCTACATTTCATTGCAGTAAAAAAAATTCTAGGTCATAAACATATATCTTGGGTGTTTCTAAGCACCATTATTTTTTTATTTGGTGTTTCTATAGAATATTTTTGAAACTTGAGGTTACATGGTTACTAAAGCTTGTACACAGGTAAAAAAAGAGGTGAAAATTTGATGGTTATTTTCTTATATGCAATGAAATGTTATGTGAAATTTTTTTTTCTATGGTACTGGACAGGATAAAACTTTACTCATGCCAAGTATTTCTTTATTTGAAACAAAGATAAATTCTGCACAATTTTTTGAAAAGTGCAAATTTAACAAAGACTAATAGGGGAAAATCAATGGTGATATTACACCTAAAGGGTAATTTTCGAGCAGTAGATTTGTAATTTTTTCCTTCGCGTATTTTCATGCTTGAAACTCATTATTCACAATGTTCATTTCAAATTGACTAAAGAGCAACGTGTAAACTTTTTTTTTATAATTTTTCGTTCATTTTGAAAGACCATTTTACTTCCCGTTTGTCCGTGCACAAGGTTCCATCCCCATTTCGATTCGCATTCAATTTTCTTTTCCTTTTCTCTTGCTTACCCTTCTGATGTAATTCCACAAATTTCATGTCACGCAGCAATTTAAAACTCTTGTTCAATATTTTTATTAAAAAATATTTGCTTTAATCCTTTATTTTTCACACTCGGTACTAGCACTTTCCACTTCTATTTATAGACCATATTGCGGACGTGAAAGAAAGCACTGTAAACAACGGTTTTTTGTTTTTATAAACATCCAAATGTTTATATTTATGTGAGAAAGTGATTATCTAACACGAATATCAAATCAAGAATATCATTATTAAGCATATACCAGTGTATTTCCTCTTTTTTGTCGAGAGTTGAATATCTCTAAGGGTTGACAGTTGTTTTGAGAAACGAATTTATTTCTTTGTATGCAACTGTAAGTGTAAGTCTTCGACTATAGGCTATTTGCTATGGAATTTCAATAAATAAAATAAAAATAAAAAAGTCAACGTTATAGTGTGAGCTTTAATTTGTTATTGTGTGTATATGCAAGTGTTTTTAATATTCTTACCCATACTACATTTTGTATTCACGTCCCATACCAACATTCCCTTTTTTGAAGTCTCTGATCTGTGCCGTTTACCAGTGTTTATTAAGTTTGTGTAGGGACAGCTACCACAAGGTATATACAAAATACTTCCGAGACCGTATTTTTGTTCTTTTAAACAGTTGTGTAGAAACAATGGTGCATAGCAGTTCTTGCAAGCTTTAAGTTGGTCAGCTAGTAAACCCAACTCAACCACTCTTCGACCATCACGCCATGCCAAATTACTTTCATTTTCTTGAGAGGGAAGCAATGTTTCACTCGGACAAGACATTTCATTTACAATTACTACACTTTTTGTTATATTTTGATGAGAAGCATTCAATACTTTTCCACCGAATTGACCATTTTTCCGACGAAGCGGAATACCTTCCGACATCTTGAAAATATTTTTCTGGTGTAAGGGAGATAACTCTCATAACAACGAACGCAAATTTTCCCGTTTTCCGCTAGAGGCGTTCATTTACGTACCTCTCACCTTAAGGGCATACGATACAGTTTTGATCCCACGGTGATTCTTTTACTAAAAATTGCATTAAAGCTTTTTTCACCTAGTCAATTCAAATGTATAATAAAAAATGTACCTTCATGTGCTACTTTTAGAGATAAATAGGGTCGGAATTTTAAACATTTACTCAAAATGTCGATTTCTTGGACATTTCTATCCGGGCTTCTGATAAACATACCTAACTTTTTTGTTTTAAAAGAAAAACACAAGCGGATTTTAAATTTTAAATAATACATTTTTATCAAAGTTTCATGATTATAGAAAAAAAACGGCATTTTTTGCTGTATATTTATCTAATTTGAAAAAAAATCATCGGTGATTTTTTCATAAAAAATGGTACAAATAATCTTCATGCATAATCAAACCAAATGTCTTTTAAAATTAGGGGTCAATGTACTCGTTTTCAAGCTAATGATTAAATGCATCTTTTCCCGATATGTCTCAGGAATAACATTTTACGTTAGCAACGTCATTACCTCCCTTGTAACTGTATCGTGGCCAAAGACATACCGGTTTTCGGAGGGAAATTGAAAAGTAGACCAATTTAGCACGAAATTCAAAAGATGTAGTAAATACCTTTTATTAAATAGTATCAATTATGTTTACGATATAAGTACAGTAGCTGGTATGATGGGTGAAGATTTCATAGTTATATAACACAGGGGTCGTATATCATCCTAGTCGGTAAATGATTTTATAAAGATACAAAAGTAACTTGAGAGAAAGTTCAGGTGAAAAACGTATTTACAATAACATTGTCAAATATTTCTATACGTCTTGTCTAAAATTACCCTAAATCTACCTTTAATTTTAGGCAGTCACTTGGAAAAAGTTATTTTCATTTACCTTTATGCCATTTACTGGTCAAACTACTGGTCAAACGAGGACTCGGAAGACTTTCAAGGTATGATGTATTTGTATATATAACTATATGGAAAAACTAAGTCGGGTCCAGGGATTGGAAATGTCCATTTTCATTTTAAAGCTTATCTACGTTTTAGCTGACATTTTTTTGTAATTCGTTTGGTTTTTTTTTCTAAATGGCAGAGGTTCACCAACAATTTGAAAAGCAAAAAAATGAGAATGTAATTGTTGAGAAGTAAAAATGAGAATGTAATTGTTGAGAAGTAAAAATGAGAATGTAATTGTTGAGAAGTAAAAATGAGAATGCAATTGTTGAGAAGTAAAAATGAGAATGTAATTGTTGAGAAGTAGATATGTTTATTGTATTATAGGACGAGGAATGTAATTGTTGAGAAGTAGATATGTTTATTGTATCATAGGACGAGGAATGTAATTGTTGAGAAGTAGATATGTTTATTGTATCATAGGACGAGGAATGTAATTATTGAGAAGTAGATATGTTTATTGTATCATAGGACGAGGAATGTAATGGTTGAGAAGTAGATATGTTTATTGTATCATAGGACGAGGAATGTAATGGTTGAGAAGTAGATATGTTTATTGTATCATAGGACGAGGAATGTAATGGTTGAGAAGTAGATATGTTTATTGTATCATAGGACGAGGAATGTAATGGTTGAGAAGTAGATATGTTTATTGTATCATAGGACGAGGAATGTAATGGTTGAGAAGTAGATATGTTTATTGTATTATAGGACGAGGAATGTAATGGTTGAGAAGTAGATATGTTTATTGTATTATAGGACGAGGAATGTAATGGTTGAGAAGTAGATATGTTTATTGTATTATAGGACGAGGAATGAAATGGTTGAGAAGTAGATATGTTTATTGTATTATAGGACGAGGAATGTAATGGTTGAGAAGTAGATATGTTTATTGTATTATAGGACGAGGAATGTAATGGTTGAGAAGTAGATATGTTTATTGTATTATAGGACGAGGAATGTAATGGTTGAGAAGTAGATATGTTTATTGTATTATAGGACGAGGAATGTAATGGTTGAGAAGTAGATATGTTTATTGTATTATAGGACGAGGAATGTAATGGTTGAGAAGTAGATATGTTTATTGTATTATAGGTCGAGGAATGTAATTGTTGAGAAGTAGATATGTTTATTGTATTATAGGACGAGGATTAGAACTTTGTTTCTTTTGTTTTAAAAGAATAATGACAATTTGGCTAATAAATGTAGACCCTTTATTTATAACTCAATGCTCTTTATCTAAAACTTTGTTTTATCAGTTACCTTTTAATTTTCAATATGCAATTTCTTTAGACCACACATATATTCTTTTGTTTTGAGTTTAGTACTGATTGTTTGTTTCAAAGAAAATAATTCAGACGGTTTGACTTCACTTTTATGTAGTTTATTGAAATTTTAAACATTCTTATGCGTGCATCCAAAATGTGTGGTGATATGGAAAAAAAACCCATTAAAAGTGAAAGAATGTGACACAATTGTTAACTTTACAAGAATAGTTAAAATTGAGAATGGAAATGGGGAATGCGTCAAAGAGAAAACAACCCGACCAAAGAGCAGAAAACAGCCGAAGGGTCTTCAACACAGCGAGAAAATCCCGCAACCGGAACTTGTCTGATCTTTACCGGTTGTGTCCTATTCCCGATACTGTGGATTTGCATGGCGGGTGATGCCTTCATAGCTGGAGATGCTTATCCCGTCGAAGCACCCGATCTCGCTCCTTTTGGGGTTAATGCGATTCTCTCAGATTTTGTTGTTTACCTTAATTTGTATCTTCTGAATAGATTCGTGATATTTGAATATCAGTAAATTATACTATTGCATATAATTTACCTTACCTTCAAAAAAGTCATTTCTTTCTCGCGTATGAATATTCCGTGTAGTTCACGATAAAAGGTTTCCTTTGTCAATACAGGCCGTAGTTCGGTTACCGTACACAATTCATAGTCTTTATCAAATATTAGTTTAAAGAAATTCCGTTTGAAGTACTGTTTTTACATACAAAGAGTTGCTGAAGTTCGTTCTAGCACCGTCAACTATATATCTAAATGCTCTTACTTACCAACGAAAACAGGGACATTATTAGCTTTCCGATTTTGCCGTAATGTCCTAAACAAAAGAAGACCTGGTACTGTAATTCATAACTCAAATCGACCAATCAATAATAGAAATGTTCACGAAAAACCAACTTAATTGTCACATTTTAATAATTTCTAGTAAGAGGAAAGGGTGCATCGTTGATGAACAAAACACTTCCTTTATTCGGAAGATCTTCCCTTTACTCTAAATGTGAAATTATCAAAACTCATTTTTAATCACAATATAAACATGTACTTCACTGCAGAAGAGCACAACGTTTACTATTGAGTCCTTTTTACCTATTTTAAAAAAATGAAGGAACTTTTCTAAAACAAGCTTTAAAAAACAGATATCTCACCATTTCTCTGCCTAAATCGACTATAACAGTCCTGATTTGTTTTTATACAAAACATGATATAATATTGTCTGAAGATATAATGGTAACTAATCCTTGGACAGTTGTACTTTTTTTACCGCTTTTTTGTTAACCATCAATTTTGGAAGATGAACGATACGATACTTCTTAATAACTTAAAGACTTAGTTATAATATTTGATACAAAAAATGAAAACAGGTTTATGCAAACTTATTTTATACTGAACACATTTTTAATTGCCAGTTCTGCAGGGATGACTAAAAACGCCAGGGGTAACTGGAAAAACTGGTATGAGTTTTTATTCTCAAGCATTGGTTGTGTTGTTGGACTGGGTAACATCTGGAGATTTCCGTATGTTTGTTTTAAAAATGGCGGCGGTGAGTTCATGGTTTTAAACTTTTTTGTTACATTAAAATGTTCGTTTTATCAATAAAAACATGCTAAAAAGAATATAATTAAGAAAATGAGATAGCAACTAAGTAACACATAGGACAACTAAAGGTAAATATTATAAATATGTCTATATAATATGCTTTAAGGGAGCTACCATTTGATTGTTATGGGCGTGGGGGGGGGGGGGGGGGGGGGGATGACTGTCCTGCCTTTTTATTTTTCACTCTATTCGGTCCTGCATTTTTTTTTAGTTTATCCTGACTTTTTTTTACCTAAATTGTCGTCCTGACTTTTTTTTCTTCAAGTGTCTCATCCTGCCTTATTTTTTACTCAAAACTCCTGTCCTGCCTATTTTTTTCAAATTTTGTATGGTTGCTAATGAAACAACTATTCACCATAGACTAAAGGACCAGCATGTAATAACTTTATAATCCTTTTTATTGAAGTTATGTACATAAAACAAAACCAAATATTCATAGTAATAATGAAATAAGTATATTAATAATAAACACATCATAGTTACATGTTTTTTGTACCTGGATTGAAATTTTGTACACCAGTCGCGCGTTTCGTCTACAATATACTCATCAGTGAATCAAAAAAGTTAAAAAGGCCAAATAAAGTAATAGTTCATTTTCTATTATTCAAATAGTAGATATAACTAATGAATTATCATAAAATAGTTCAACATATAATTTTCTAGTTGTTGATATATGTATAATGTAATTATAGTTATTTTTTTTTAAATTTCATTGTCATTTATTTGTGTTGATATAAAATCTTCAGTAATCTACTAGTACCTCTAATAAATCAAATGGATTTACTAAATATATTTATGTTACATATTATATCTCCAGGAGCTTTCATGATTCCATATTTTATATTCCTGTTCATACTTGGTCTCCCAGTGATGTTTACAGAACTTACATATTCACAATGGTCAAATCTTGGACCAGGTCGTGTATGGATATGCTGTCCGCTCTTTAGAGGTATAAGATAACAGTATTTTAAACATGATGTTTAATTATGTTCAATCTGCAGACAATCTGAACCATGAAATTGTAACACACACCAACCCTAGAATGCATCATGATGGATTGCTTTTTATAGTCCAGTGTCAAATATTACCCTGCAAACATGTATCAGATGAGAACATCCGAACGTGATATACACTGAATATAAACCTTGCATTGCACTTTCAAGAACGACACCCTGAACCGGATTTATAACATTTTAATTCATAAGGTAACCGTCCACAGGAAACCATGTCATCTAAACCGAACACCATATTCTGACATCGAGCCGACAAGTCTTCCTTCATACCTTTTAATGCTGCAAGCAAAGCGGAGAAGCAGCAAGCACATTTTTCCTAAGTTTTTGGTTTGATATGGCGGGGTATCGATCCGACGACCTCGAGCATTTGAAGGGAAAACGCTATCAAGACACTTTCAAGACGGTTAAAAAGCATGATAGGGAAAACAAAGCTCAATAACAATATTCGGCGAGTGAAACTAGTTTGTGTTACTTTGGGAATATGCAGTGTAAAGTGCAATTACAATTACTAGTACACAATTTATGAAAACACTATATATATTCCATGGAAACGCGAGGTAATGTTCTCCCCTAATGAATACAGGTGTTGCTGTATTAATGCATAGCATATGAAAAGGTCAGAAGGGTAACAAAATTATATGGAAAAGTTAAAATTGTGTAATTTTTTTGATATGTTTTTTATATAGGTATAGGATTTGGAATGATCTGTTTAACGGGTATCGTCAGTATATACTACAATGTGATCCTTGCTTGGGCCCTGTATTATCTGGTGAATTCATTCTATCCTACAATACCTTGGAGTACGTGTACAAATGATTACAATACAGAACACTGCTACACGAGGATACAGCAGACGTATTTGAATATATCAATAAACACAACAGTGCTGTCACCAATAGTAGATGCTTTGAATTTAACCAGGAAAACAGCGACTGAGGAATTTTGGGAGTACGTATTTTGTTTGTGTTAATTTTTTTGTTTGTGTTATTTGTTCTTGTTTTTGTTTTTTGTTTTTTTAGGATATCCAATAAATATTGAAATATCTTTAACATATAGAACCATGTGCAAAACAGTGTAGACGAGACCATTGATTGGCGCGCTAAACTATCCCATTGACTGGGTCAGATTAGGTGAACGTTCGTCTGTAACACCCACAACTCACGACGTATTTATTACAGACATTTAAACTGTGGGGTTGCCAAAGGGTCTCAGTGCCTAAATAAAATAATTCGAAAAACTAATCAGGAATAACTTTTGTGTTTTGATTTATATTGAATACTTAAACGTTCTTTACTTGTGCTTTTGTTATGTTTTGATAATCAATTTTTATGATATCGCACGTTCTTTCAGCAAAAAAGGATTTAACTGGCTTTAAAATTTACAATGCATGTGTTCATTATAATCTTTTTTTCGAACGTCAAAGCGATTTAACAATTGCGGTTGTCTAATTATGTCATCTTTTAACTTTTATCTGGTCAAAATTTTATTTTAGAACGAATGCATGATCAACTTTGAAAAGTGTGCAAACACAAAACATATAGACAAAATATACTTCTTTCCTGTCTTTTTCGTACTTGCAAGTTATTAGACAGTAATAGACATTTTCGAAAACTATTCGATACCGACGCTTACACCTACGCCTATGCCTGCAGGTAGCCTTTTTGAGAAGGGGTCATCTCAACATGTACAGCGACCACAGGCATTTTAATTATATTTTTTCTAATCTACATTTTATTTTGGATGCTTTGCTACTTTATTAGGTCTGTTTAGTGGCTGAGAATTGATCGATCTGAATATTGTACTTTGTAAAAAAAAAGAATAATAAAACTTTAATCAGAAACAGGAACGTGTAAAGTCTTTTAAAGCGTGAAACAACGTGTAGACATAAAGATGATTGTATTTGTATGTGTTATCTTGGTGTAATCAGGGGTGTACGGAATTTTACACCGGTGTTGAAAATACATTGTAAAATTTCGTACATCCCTGACAACACCAAGAAAACGAATTTATTTCTTATGAAACTTTCCTTTACTAATTTTTATACCTGGGTATAAAATTGAAAATTTTTTAGGAAGAACTTCTACTTCACAATTCAACACTAGTTTTGCCGCGCACGTTGTCAATTATAATTTTGATACACGTTTTTGTTTGTAAAGGTGGGGAAGGGGATCAAAATTTTATTTTTGTGGGTTTTTTTTTGTGTTTACCCTTTTTGGTTTTGGTTTTTTTTTTTTTGGGGGGGGCATTTTTTTTTTTGTAAATTTGAAATTTTTTTATTACTTTTTTGCATTTCGTTTTTATTTTTTTTCTCAGTTATTTTATTTTATACTCGAGTCACCGAAACTTCCATTACAAACCCTAAGACCTGTTGACTTACATTGATTTAATATACGCTTATCCTTGCTTCATAAGAAATAAGATATAACATACTTAATTTATGTTCCGAATTCTTTTTAGCAATACAATTCGCCAATTGTATATTCTACCGCAACACTGTATTCCATTTGAATGGTTGCAAACGGAGACAATAAAAAAAAAGCAGATGGAATGTCACAAATTCTTTACTGAAAATACTGTGAAAGTACTTTTATTCGTGGGGTACCAATTTTCGTGGTTTCCGTTGTTGGCTTTATCCACGAATTTGACTGTCCAACGAAATAAAATAACTGTTGTCCAATTCCAGACATGGAAAGATCCCCATGTATGTTTGATTACATGGATACGGTCATATAAAGCAACGTACTATGAACTAAATATACATTTTTTTTTGTACAACTTCAGACCGGATTTTACCCATTTAATCTTTAAAAAATCTAAAATGTACGACTGTTAACATTTTAATTCTCATGAGAAATAGTTTTTGATCGATGAAAGTCAGATTTCCGGTAATGATATGCGATAATGAAATGTTCCTTTTTTCATAATTCTCATACGAAAAAAAAATACTGATTTCATTTTGGGTTTGCTTTTTTATGTCATAATAATTGATTCAACAATTCAAAATTCAGTGTAGACGACTTTTCGAAAATGTCTAATAGGGCTATTAGGATTAAGCCTTGTGAAATTTGCATTTACGTTTTTGAACAGGTAAAATGTATAGTTTGGTGAACTTTTCTGTTAACTACTATACTTGTGAAAAACCCTTGACAACAGAAACATATTCATTTTTTTTAATCGACCCAATTTACATAGTATAAATGGACGACTTCGTACATTTTATGATCGCAAATAAAATATGTATATAATATACTGTGCACTGTAGTTCGTATACTAGTATATACTTTGGCAACCCCACAGTTTGAATGTCTATAATAAATATGTCGTGAGTTGTAGGCGTTACAGACGAACCTTCACCTAATCTGACCCAGTCAATGGGGTATTTTAGCGCGCCAATCAATGGTCTCGTCTACACTGTTTTGCACATGATTCTATATCTTAGGCACTTTCATATTCAACTTCGAATTCATTAGTTTCGCCAACTTTAGGATTTAACCCTTTGGATGGAGTAAGATCATTACTTACTAGTATTACTCCAAAAATCAAAAATTAAAACTGTGTTTCAATTTTTGATGTATATTTGAATTAAAGGAGTATACTACTCGGTTGAAACATGACCCCAATGCGAACAATTTAAATATGAATTTACTATGATTTACTGTGAATTGTATTAGAATAAATTATTTTTTGTTTAAGGCGTTAACAAATTTCATTCACAGTTCTAGGTCGCATTAAACTTGACAGTAGGTCATAAGCGGTCACGATAGCTGACACCCATTTGTAAAATTATGTTGTATCTCCGGGTGGGGGGGGGGGGGGGCTTCAATACTTAATTGATAGGGGTGTCGCTGGGGTTCGTTGACCCCAGCCGTTTCATATAATTTAGATTTTTAAAATGTATACCTTTTCATGTATTGCGTAGGTAAAAATGTAACCTTTTCCCATATTGTTTGGGCTTCATGTGGTGTGTTTGAAAAGTGGAATACCATAATCGAGAAGATATCGCCTTTGCTCGGAGCTCAGATCTGAGGATTCATTGTGTAATTTGTACTTACGGCTGTGAAAAAAAATACTGGGATTTTCATATAACAAGTAATAGGAACTTTATTGACCTTATCATATATTTTTGATAGGTTTCCCCATCTATTCAAACTTTTCAAGCTGAAAATGTTACATATTCCAGTGGTACATCCTATCACATATTATAAGGAAATCTACCCCCCCCCCCCGGGTCCCCCTGAGTGTAGTATACATTGATAACAGAAATAAGGTCAAAAGGCCTATGCCATCTGCAAAGAAAAAAATGGAGAAAAAAAAGTTTTTAGTTGCCTTGATATTTTTTAATATGTATTATAATAGGACAAACGTACAATATTGTCATTAATCGAACATGATCTATTCAAATATGACAAACTACTTTGATAATGTGTACTAAAGTCGACCAATCAAAAATCTACATGAAGTTTCCTCAATGTGACTCGACTGGGATTAGTAACGGAAAACTGCCCCTGGAAAATAGGGTGTAGAAATGAAAAAATTGGAAACCCGTAAAACATATTTTTTATGTATATTGGGGTATAGGATTTAAGATGATAGTAAAACTCAGATAAAATGACAATCATTTGAATGTTGGCATCACAGTAGCAAACAATTCATAAATATTGGCTTTAACCCGCTGTATTTTTATGCACCTGTCCTTAGTCAGGAGCCTGTTGTTCAGTGGTTGTCGTTTGTTGGTGGGGTTCATAAGTGTTTCTCGTTTCTCGTTCTTTTTATATAGATTAGACCGTTGGTTTTCCTGTTTGAATTGTTTTACACTAGTCTTTGTGGGGCCCTTTATAGCTTGCTGTTCGGCGTGAGCCAAGGCTCCGTGTTGAAGACCGTACTTTGACCTATAATTGTTTACCTTTTACACCTTGTGACATAGATGGATACTCATACCACATCTTATTTATATTATATGGCAGCCTCCGTTTTATCAATTTCCTTTTCTTCTTTATATTATATGGCAGCCTCCGTTTTATCAATTTCCTTTTCTTCTTGTTGTTATGTCGGAGAAAGTTAAACAAAGATGCTCAATGATAAAATGAAAACAATAATAAAAAAAAAAATATATTCATAATATTACTTTCAGAAATAAAGTTCTTGAAATAACAGATGGCATAGGTGAGCCAGGTGGTTTAAGATGGCAGCTTGTGTTGTGTCTTTTAGCAGCATGGGGTATTGCATTTCTTTGTTTAATAAAAGGAATAGAGACGTCTGGCAAGGTAATTCTAAAATGTTAGAACCATACTGCATTAAATTATTTTGAGATTAATAATAATTTTAAAAAAAATCAGCACTTGCGTTGAAAGATGTGAGATGTTTTTCATTTACAACTTGTGCCATGTCCACTCCATAGGGTACGACAAGAGGATTTCCGAACATCGCCACCTTAAAAGGCAAGTGTGTTACGACATGGTTGAAATCGTTTCTATTGTCGTATATTTAAGACTCAATTTAAAATTTTCCTTTTTGTACCTTTACGGTTCGTCTAAGAATCAACATTATTGACTTGTTTTGATTAGCTTTAAGCTGCTGTAGTTATTTTGAACAAATACATTCAGTCTAATAAACTATGGACCGTTATCAATACTAAGTATCTGCTATTATTGCTTTAAAAACGTCAAATGATTTTCACTTTTCTTTATTAAAAAAGCAAGGTTCGAACTATACAATATTTTTTTTCATAAAGTTGGGGATCAGAATATATTTTTAGGAAAAACCCATACCACCCCACCCCCACCCCCTGTTGTTAAATGGTCGTTCCCTAAATGATATCTACGTACGTATACAAGAACAATAGTTTTCATATCTTTCATCAATGGTTATCATTACGAAAGATATATTTAAGGATGTTCGCTACTCTGTTTCAAAATAACAAGCTTTTTAAAAGACTGTTATAAATTGATAGTATATAAATAAAGGAACTAAAAAAGCAGAAAAAAGTGAAGGGTCCGTGTGCTTGTTTTCGAGATATAAGCCATTGCAAATTTGGCGGGAAATACTTCTCTCTAGATTTTTCGTACATTTAACATTGGCGCCTTTTTTTCTTTCAAAAACGATGAAAAAATAACAAGGATTTTAAAAGATTTTCAAAGATGACATTTTAAACTATATGTAATCAAATTATGGAAAGAAAAGTAGGGGTTAGTGGGCAAAATTTTTAATCTACATGGATAAAACCAGAGGATTCCGAATATCTGGCAAAAATTCAAAAACAAGAGGAGCGAACATCCTTAAGCAGGTTTGTTAAAGGTCTACAACACAACATTAGAAAAAACTTTAAAAATGTAATTCTGTTTACAGGTTGTGTATGTGGCAGCAACAGTACCGTATGTGTTTTTGACGATACTTCTTATTCGTGGGTTATTATTTGACGGGGCTAGTGAAGGTCTGCTGTATTTTGTTAAACCTAGATGGGATCAACTGTGGAAATTTTCAGTAGGTATATCAGCGGACTATTGTGTATTATTATACAATGTAAGTACGTTAATGTACATATTAATCTTTGACAAAACCGTACGTTAAAGAAATTATACTTAATACTATACAGGGTTTATTTACTTGTCCTATTAAAGTTTGGCATGCAAGTGGACTTAGAAAAATAAGGTATGCAGTGTTTTAAAAAAGATGAAAAAATAGAGAAATATGCAGCTTCATTTTTCTAATAATAAATCAGTTAGTTAAAAACCCTTTTGATCGGAACTGTATGTGTGATACCACCTACATTCAATCATATGTGCAATGAGTTTCACGTTCCCCTAAAATGTTCTCTTTATTTTGACAATTTTTCTAATTATTTGCTATTTGTTTAATCTTTTTAAGACATGGGGAGATGCTGCAGTGCAAATATTTTACTCGGCAGGACTCGGATGGGGAGGTGTTGCGACATTGGCTAGTTATAACAACTTCCATAATAACACTAAAAGGTACAATTACAGAAAAAAAGTCATTATGCCGTGTGACTCCTATTAGTCGTGAATATACATTCTAGTTAAACACTCAGTACACAATCCTCAAGAATAGCTATAGAAAGAGTTATGATTACTTATGTATCTTCCGTCCGATAGGAGACCACTAACTGTCGAAAATTCGTTTGGCTCTACAGTAAATATACATACGGGGTAATATCCGATCGGGTAAGACGCATTAACACAAGACACTTGTGAAAACACAAAACTCTATAATCATTGAAAAACGGGAGGCTGCTGTTTCATCAACTTTATTTCTTTGGTCATCGTAATATCAGATCCAAACACTTGGTATAGAAATCGCTAATTTTATATTATGTCATTATCCAACAAATCCTAAACTTGCATCAATTGATATTTTATAGTGTGTCTTTCTATGTTGTGATGTTACACTATTGTTTCAGATAAGGGTGAAGGTTGGTACCTATCAAAACGTTTAAACTCGCTGCATTTGTTTGCACCTGTCATAAGTCAGGAATATGATGTTCAGTAGTTGTCGTTTGTTGATGTGTTTCATAAGTGTTTCTCGTTTCTCGTTTTTTATATAGATTAGACCGTTGGTTTTCCCGTTTGAATGGTTTTACACTAGTCATTTTTGGGACCCTTTATAGCTTGCTGTTCGGTGTGAGCCAAGGCTCCGTGTTGAAGACCGTACTTTGACCTATAATGGTTTACTTTTACAAATTGTGACTTGAATGGAGAGTGGCACTCATACCACATCTTCTTATATCTATAAACATTTGCCACAATATGCAACTAACAACAACCAGTAATACTTTAAGTTGTATTTTTTCCCTACCTGAATTCACCGAAAAACTCATAGTTAATTTAAAACATCAGTGAGCACCATATGACTGAACATGCATGCATCTTAAAATATTCTAAGAGAGTTCAACTGGATATATTTGAACTACAATAAGAGTAAAACCAAGGTCACGAATTTCAGGCAGATATAGTATTACGGTATGTTTGAGTGATTGCTATAAAATTCTTACACCAGATAACTTCTATAAAATTGGTTGTTTTGTTTTTGCAAGTGCTACTGGTGAAACAAATCTACTAATCCTTTCGGAACACATTAAAGGTTTTCACATTCGTTTTTTGTTGTGATTCGTGTTTACCGTGAGTTGCTTAATCTTCAGTTCCCTACACTGTTTTTTGTTGTTGCATCCCTTTTTTTTGCCTTGATGTCGTTTGTCGCTCTATGATTTTGTTGTTGTCACTGTCTGTGTGGTTTCTACTTTAATTCTTATGAATATGTGTACGAAAAAGAAAAGAAGACAAAAAAAAAAACAAAAAACCACGATCCCTCCCCCTTCGTAAAATTAAAATGTTCTATATATGTTATTATTAACCAACTTACTACAATATGTATAGAAATGCCCATGCTTTATAACAGGAAAATTTCGACAACTGGTCATTATGAACGGAGAAATTGCTACAGCCATGCATTACGAAATCTCAGTCATGCATTACGAAATCGCACCCGTGCATTACGAAATCACAGCCATGCATTATGAACAGATGAAACGAGACATCGATTAAATCAAAATGTCGTTTATTTCTTCAAATAAGTGACAACTTTTTTCAATTTTTTTTTAACTTAATATCATAAAAAAAAAGTTTAAATGATGTTCAGTGTTTTGTAACGACTTGAAACGAAAATATTACACAGCCTTTTTCGAGTACGACTTTCGATTATTATCACTGTTTCATTTCCGTTGATCAGTTATCAGAACGCAGACTACTCAGAGTAAGAATAGTTAAACTGTCTGATTTATTCTTCCCAGCTACTTTATATTTGCTAGATGAAATGAATTGTAATAGCATAAAATAAAGTACTTGGAAGAGAAATCAGAAATTACATCTGACAATGTTGACCAAAAATCCATCGTGAATGCGAAAAGACAAGTTCAGCTATGAATAATTTCCTGTATCTTCTTCACGGTAAGATTCGTACTCTTTGTTTAATCGAAGAATTAAAACCATTTACGGTAATAAAAGTGTTATGAAGTGGCTTATTTTTGTATTGGTCCTGTTATAGATTCGTGGTTAGCTGTATTTGGATCCGAGACTCGAAGACTGTTCTTGAATGAAGTTGCCTTGGTTGGTTAATAAAAGTATCAATATATGGACTTTTTCATATTGGCCCTGTAACATGCCCTTGGTATTAATAATGGCCTCGGACAGTTGTAATGGCCCTCGGCGCTGCCTCGGGGCCATTACAACCATCCTTGGCCATTATTTATACCTCGGGCATGTTACAGGGCCAATATGAAAAAGTCCATACATTAATACTATAGTAGTTATATTTAAACGTTAATATAAGTTTACTTCAGGTTTTATTGCATAATGTGAACTTTCAGCAATAATTTAAATGCATGATGAAGTCCATTCCAGTCATTCATAACATTTTTAACCGATTTTTGTGTAATTTTCAGAGATGTTATCATTTTATTAGTATTAGATGGTTTGACAAGTTTTTTTGCTGGATGTGTTATATTTGTAACCCTTGGTTTTATGGCAAAGCAATCTGGTGTTGCAATTAACGACGTTGTTGCGCAAGGTTTGTTTGTATTTTAGATTTGTGTTATGTCTGTTATTAGTATTACCTTAAAAACTTTTATTGGTCAAATTTACAATGCTTTAAATTGCAACATTACTTTATCAATCACATGAAGTCAGAAAAAAATGGAAAGAAAAGAAAGACAAAACAAAATTGTAACATCGATTTTTACTCCACAAATTATTTTCATTAGGAATTTCGCCTTGTTCGAAGGATATTAAATTTCACAGAATCAAAATGTCAAACAAAACATGCTGACTACTTTATTCTTGTAGGACCTGGCATAGCTTTTATGGTATACCCAGAGGCACTTGCGTCACTGCCATTGCCTCAATTATGGTCTGTTTTATTTTTCCTCACATTATTTACTGTTGGATTAGATAGTCAGGTAAATTATTAAGTTATGCTTAAAGATCATTATGTAAATATGATGTATAAAACGGGGGTCGTAATCTATGTCGCAGACCTTATTTCTTAAATGTACAAAGAGTCTCTCTCTTGGCTAATTATAATCTGGCTCTTAATAATGTTGCAGGCCATATCCTTAGTTTACCGCAGGCTGTTTGGGTTTCAAAACCCCTTTTTTACCCATCTATAAGTCCCTACATTTTAGAACGATTGAACCTGGACATTCACATAAAAAAGCGCTCAAAGCAGTTTAAAACGGAATAAATTCGGTAGTCCACATGTTAAAAAAAAAGGTCAATCAAATGTCTTCCTTTGAAGAAAAAGTTGGAAACCAAATTTAGTAATTTCAGTTTAATAATTCATATATTTTTTGCGTGAAACCCCCTGAGGGGTTCACGCTTATATATTGGCGAGTTTTGGAAGTACCTCTGGGCCACTCGATATCCTCAAAATCAAGATTCTCGGAACGTCTCGAAAATTTTCGATCATTTATACAGGTAGCTATAATTTATGTCTTTGATACGGTCCCTCTAGGGATATGCTACCACGTGACATTGTATATTTCAACAATCAAAGTTCATCTGTAGATTTGATAGTAAAACAATAAAGATTAGGTTGCAGTCAAAAAATCATTTATACGTTAGAACCTATTTGCCTTTAATAATGTGAATGTTTATTAAATATCAAGTAAAATGATAACGCAATTATATAATATGAATATGTTGAAAGATAGGGCACCTTTGGCAAAACTTAGGCTAAGTGCACACAATCTTGAAATTGAAAGAGGCAGGTACCTGCGAGTTAACAGAGAAGAAAGGTTGTGCAAATTATGTCATAATAATAATATAGAAGACGAAAAACATTTTATCTTGCGCTGTACAAAATATGAATCACAAAGAAATGTACTTATATCAAAATTGTCCAATTTTAAAAATTATGACAAACAATCCAAAACTAAGGATGAATATATCAAACTACTACTTAATAGCAAGTGTAGAAAAACACTTAGATTAATATCATCTTTTATTAATCAATCATTTGAATTAAGTAGCCTATTCTACATTAACCTATGTATATTAATATATATATAACTGCAAAATTTCATTGTTCGAAATGTGCCTATTAATATGCTATGTAGTATTGTTTAATTGCTGCATCATTACTATTTGTATACTAGTTGTATGGGCCGTTGCCAATTATTGTAATTGCGTTTGTGCTAATAAATATTTGTATTTGTTATAATTCATGCTTTGAGACGTACCCTGAACGCGTTGTGTTGTAGTATTTGATACAGCGTGCTGTTGTGCATTATGACAAACCTGGGAATACGGTTTATTGATATACAATGAACCAGAATCAACTGATTATTTCTGTACGTTTATAATTTGATATTTTGTATTTCAATCATAGCATGGGTAAATGTCGGAAAGCATGAAGAAAATTAAGAAAACGATATTTCTTTTCAATTTATCTTAGGCCAGTCGGAAACACAGTGGTCGGAAAGCAGAAATATAATCAAACAAAAGGACTTTTCTGTCAAAAATATCGAATTTCATTTATAGATACTACCAGACTAAGAGAATATTCATTATTAAGTTTAAACTGAGACTGAATTTATTCTTAAAAGGATAGTTAAAATTGTCATATATACGTGCATTATGTATCACAGGTTTGAACAGTCATTACATTTATGAAAATTATATGCAACGTATGAGTACCAATGAGCAGGGATGCTTATCCAAAGTTAGCTAAATATCTAAATTTTAAACGGTCGTGAATGAAAAAAATACTTGCATGGTTTCAATTCACAAGGACAGTAAATCCTTGCATGTCACAAAAACGTAAATAATATTTTACAATAATCATAACAAAATTTAGTTACTATCATAATGTTAATTATTTTATACTGTTTTAGAATGGATTTATAAGTCTCTGCTTATTATTTGTATAGCAATATATTCATATAGTGGACTGTTAGACTTTAAAAAGAGATTGGTTTGATAAATAAAATGCCCATCCGTTAATACTTGACGTTTGTGTTTATTGATATTATAAAATAATATTCTAGATTTTCGGAAAAAAATCACTAACAGGTATGTAATTCTTTTTTTGTTTGTTTGTTTTAAAAGTTCAACCTTATAGCATCTAAATATTTGTACTTTGGTACAAATGCGTATTCTTATCCAGAGTATCAGTGCGAATGCTGTCTATTAACTATTTCTTGCGCAAAAATACCACGTGCATGCATAAATATTGATTTCACTCGTAAATGCGAATTTTCGCTTTTCTATCTAAAATTCAGGACACGGCAGTAAGAGCTTGACATTTGACTTTCAAGCACGGTTATCATTTCTTCTGACCTCTAGCTGTTTCTCTCTTTTTTTTTTCAGTCCCTGTCCTATTTTAAACTTTGACATTTTCGAAATGCTAAGGATTTTCTATCTAAGGAATAGATTACTTAACTTCGTACTTTATTTGGCCTTTTTAACTTTTTTGTTATTCGAGCGTCACTGTTGATTCTTTGTAGACTTAACTCGCGTCTGGCGTACAACATTTTAATCTTGGTATCTTTTTATATCTACCGATCTTTTTATATAAATTGGTTCTTTTGAGAGTATGTTTAGGTATTCATAAAACTTCTGAAAATTAGATATTTTTCAAAACCAAGTTTTCCTGTGAATATTTGGATTGATTTAAGTAAAATTAGGAAGTCCTTAAAATTTGAGAATTTTTATGAGACCAAAATAAGTCTCTATATAAGAGGTCACAATGAAGCTGGTGTGTTACTCTCAAAAAAAATATACGAAACCTTCTTATATAAGTTGCATGCCACAGGGTTTCACTTCACATGAACATTGGACTTTAAATTTATCTATACAACATCTACCATGAGTACAGACAGCTTCAGTAACGAGTTGAGAATAATAGAAGGCATCCAAGCAGGAAACAAAATATGAAGATATGATAGATAAAATAAATGCATCCAGATTATTAAGCAAACTGAGTGCTTAAATCTATATTGCGATTGGTTTGTGCAATTTGAATTAGACATCCGGTGTGTAGAAACTGGGATTTACAAAGGGTTATGAAAAAAATATGTACATTCCCAAGTAATAAATAAAATAGTCGAGCTTTAAAATGTATATTAAAAAAGAAGCTGTATATATACACTTTTCTATTCACAACAATCCAACATTGCTTTCAACTAACTTGTGCTAGAATCTACACACAATTGCATATTTTTAATAAAGGTGTTTTAACATCATCATTATTTTATTCTATTCACAGTCAATTATTTCAGGAACATATACTGTTCCCAGATTATTTCAATTCAAAAGCAAACAAAAATTTAGCAAGAATTTTTTGGTGACCAGTCAGCGGTCTTGGGTTCACGTATTGCTTTTCTTTTTTTAAAGAAAGCAACTTGTTTTTTTTTTATTTTAACAAAATAAGGATTACGTTCTTCAAGGTAAATTCCAAAATTGAATTAAGAAATTCTCATGTACAATTTACTTTTAGAGAAATAAAATTTCTGGTACACCACATTAGACCAATTGACGTTTGATTGTCATTATTCTGATTTTTGACATCTTGAATAATTTGGTCCTGACTGTATTGGCATTAACTTACCTTCATTAAAGCAAAACGATCTATTGGAATTTTTTGGGGGAAGAGAAAGGTCGAGGGAATTGTCATCTCCAGATGTTACTAGGCAAGCTGTCTTAAACTGCAAATCTTTGTGAAGATATATCAATCAATTAACTTAGAAAATTTGAAATTATTCAATACAATAATCTATGACCCTCAACCTCATGTACCACTAGGTACTTTTGGTTATATTCGCTATTACGCGAATACACTTTGCATGTGTTTAAAAAATACATAGTTGTATCAAATTTTAGGAATACCTTTCAAAACTATAAATGATTATTACGAAATACTGACATGTCTTATCTGCAAACTTCGTTCTGTCCTTCGATTCTGCATATTCATAATTTTAAAAGTTGATTTATTGTTTATTCCGCTTCGTAACACGGACCTTTCAATTACAAAACATATGTTATGCAAAAAAAATTTAATATCACAATTTAATTATATATTATTTCAAAGACACTAAACTATCACAATCCAGACCGAAGTTTTGCAAAGATCTGATGTAAAGTACCATAATCAACTCATCTGATTCTAAAACCTTATATATTTTTGGGGAATGGTGGTTGCATGATATCATTTAGGAATTATATTTCTTTCATTATTATAGATGGTCCATATTCAAACGATGACTGTAGCAGTATTTGATAACTTTCCCAGAACAAATAAAAAGAAAACCATAGTTACTTTAATCGTCTGCATTGCTGGGTTTTTACTTGGATTAACATGTCTAACGCAGGTAAAGTGAATTCTTCTGTAAAATTATATCACTTAAAGCGTCTATTCAGAAACGTTCCTTTAAAGTTGTATTGAATTGTAAAATATAATCATGACCAATGAACACCAAAAGCAAGCCTTGCTGTTTTCTATCCTAATATCTTTCTACATTGTCGGTCAATAGTGTTACGTAAAATTATATCGATTTATTTGAATAGATATAAGAAGATGTGGTATGAGTGCCAATGAGACAACTCTCCATCCAAGTCAAAATTTATAAAAGTAAACCATTATAGGTCAAAGTACGGTCTTCAACACGGAGCCTTGGCTCACACCGAACAGCAAGCTATAAAGGCCCCCAAAAATTACTAGTGTAAAACCATTCAAACGGGAAAACCAACGGTCTATTCTATATAAAAAACGAGAAACGAGAAACACTTATGAACCACATCAACAAACGACAACTACTGAACATCAGATTCCTGACTTAGGACAGGTGCAAACAAATGCAGCGGGTTTAAACGTTTTAATGGTACCAAACCTTCACCCTTATCTGAAACAATAGTGTAACATCACAACATAGAAAGACACACTATAAAATATCAATCGATATGGCTTAACTCAATCAAAAGACATATTAACACCAGTGAACATACAATGAACAAATAAATTTGATCTATGATACAATGTAAATACAAAACAAATAAACTAAAGGATGAATAATTGAAGTAACATGGTATACCGCTGTGAAATGTTAAACAATTTAAGAAAAACGTCCAGAGCCACACATTTTTAGCCTTTTCATGGCGAAGATAAATTAATAATTTAACCCAAAGCGTTAATTTAGATCAGTTCCTTGGATCGACCAGGATGAAGTGCTGAAATTTCGACAGCAAATGAAAGTGTGTAAGTTAGAAGCTAGTACAAAGCCGGGTTCATTGCATAAACAATTTTTTGTCCCGAAAATGAATTTAACTTGCCAATGGACGTTAAACAGATATTTTCGTCATCACGAATTTTACTGCCGTAGGCATGACCATGTTTCAAAACCCATGTCCAGCCTCGTTTTCGTAAAACTATGAAAAGTGTATATAACTATACACATGTAAGATATTATGCATTGCACACTAGCATTTCTGAAGCGATGCACCGGATCGTAATAAATTTCAAGTAGTGTGTGCAGTACCATTATGACATTCTAAAAACAATAAAATAAAATAATTCAAAAGTATATCATTCACAAATAGTGACAATTTGCTCTTTTGATATTAATGTAAACGCAACACATCGTATTTTAAAACCCCTATGATGCACTTTAAAAAAAAAAATGAAAAGTAAACAAGTTCTTTCAATGTATTTTATCGTCGCGATATAGCCTTTTTGCGCTGAACCGGCGTAAAGTAAACATCATTCAATCAATCAATTAATGCATTTCAAAAACATTTGGTTACATGTTACTGTAACAGTTTAGTCTCGCATCGACTTTTTTCTGTTCAGAAACATGCGATAAATACCATAGGGGTCAAAATCAAAACTCACATATTTTCATCCAAACAAGGGACAACATGCAAAGAAAAATTGTGTATCTGCATCACGTTTTGAAAGTCTTTGATATAGACGTTCATTAAGTTGGAAATGTGCCATCTAAAGTATACATTTCCATTTGTTTTTTATCAAAAATTTGGAATTTGTAAACGTGTCAATCTGAAAACAAAAATGCTCGATCACTGTTCTGAATGCATTTTCTAAGGAGTCTCCAAAATCTAAGAACGATTAGGTCAACTTTCAAAGAACATCGTTTTTTTTAATTATTAAATGGAAAATACATGTAGATGTTGTGTTTCTATTGGCACACATTATATATGCATGCATCATTTCAGGGTGGTATCTATGTTCTACAGCTTATGGATTGGTATGTCGCTAGTGTTTCAATAATGATCCTTGTCTTCATGGAGATGTTTGTTCTAGCATGGATATATGGTAAATGCAAGTGTTACATATTAAATTGATCATAGATACCAGGATTAAAAAAAATTAGGTCAGACTCGTGTTTCATCTATACAAAACACTCATCATGCAGTGACGCTCGAATAACAGAAATTTAAAAAGGCCAAATAAAGTACGAAGTTGAATTTATAATTGATCAAAAAAGCTCTGTTCACTTTTTAAACATTTAGGTTCTTACAAATGAAGTGATGTGATAACTAAGAAGCTATTTGACTGATGTCTTAGATAATAAACTAAGTAACTTGCAATTGAATTGTTACTTTTTAACATAGTTTTATCTTTTAACTATTATTATTTGGTTGATTTTTTAGGTGGTTTTGTTCCATAAGGGGGTTTTGCAATTAATTTCTATACCCTTTACAACAAACATATAGAAATTTGGATTACTAGGATTATCTTATTCTATAAACTGTTGGAGACAATTCGGTTGTTCTCAAACTTAGAATTTTCTTTAAAACAGAGGCGAAAGATACCAAAGGGACATTCAAACTCACAAGTCGAAAATAATTGACAACGCCATGGCTACAAATGAAAAAGACCAACAGACAAATAATGATACAAAAAACACAACATAGATAACTAAAGTCTGAGCAACACGAACCCCACCAGTCGATAAAAGCAGCTATAAAATGCACAATTTCTTGATTGGACGCTTTGTTATCCTTGTAAAGTCCTTTCATTGTCCCGTCGATACTTTTTGAAATCTACGTATTGCAATGGACATCGATTCAAATCATGAGTGTAAAGGGTTGTTATAACATGTTGTAGTATCCATTACGATGTATTTTTCTATTATTTCAGGACTCGATAGATTAGGCAAAGACTTTGAAATGATGACAGGAAATAGCCTCGGAATACTCTGGAAGATAGGAATAGGTTTGACTACCCCGTTTGCCTTACTTGTTAGTATGACCGTACTCTGACGCTTAGGTACTGGCCATTCACCTTTGTGAGGGTGGGGGGAGGAGGCTTTTTTAAAAGCATAATCCTAGATTCTAAATTTCTTGAAAACAATAGTTAGCATCAGACAGGAAGTGGAAACAATAATTTATTATAATTTGTTTCCATTTGAATTTAGGGAAACAATAATATCAAAAACAATTTCTCGTTCCTGTATGTTAGTGACCAAATATTATATTTGTTTTTTATCAAAGTCGAGAAAAAAAAATGTCCTGAAAAAGCCCTAACTAAATGGTCTTAGATATCCGAAGTAATAATTTAGTAAACCGATTTATTACCATTTCACTGAAATAAAATAAAATTATGCGAAGATTATTATCGACTTTGATAGTTACTGTATACTTAACAATGCATATACATAAAAGGATCCATAACATGGATGATTTTTTTTATCATTATGCAAAATATTTCTACCACGGTATGTGCTTTCAGTTTGAAAAGCAGGTGGATAGTTGAAGTATATTGACAATTAGATTTTTACTGATTTAAAATCCAACTTTGTCTTATCTCTCAGGACAAATGATTAAACCTAAAAAAGTAATTATATACTGGTTTACCTATAAAGTCTTCGTCGCATTTTGTTCTGGAACAAAATAGAGCTTCGTGACAGCAACTTACCTTCTAGAGTTATTCCCCTTTATAACATGGAAAATTGCAAATTCGTTTCCGCACTCTTACTTATTATAAGTTTACCTCGTCCAAATTTTATGAAACTCATACACAATGCTAAGAACCAAAAACACACAGACATACATTTGTAGTTCGAATTTGGGCAGCGATTCACTTACGGTTCTAGAGTTATGCCCCTTTATAATATGGAAAATTGCAATTTTCTTCGTTTACGCACTCTAACTTAAGTTTTCCTGATCCAAATTTTATGAAACTCGTACACAATTCTTAGAACCAGAACTAGCAGACAGAGTTCAAATTTGGGCCGCAAGTCATTTACCGTTCTAGAGATATGCCTCTTTTTAACTTAGAAAATTGCAAAGCTTGAGCGGGGGCATTCGTGTCCACAGACATAAAATTATTCTTCTTTTATTTTATCCTGTAAATCTTAGACTTAGATGCTTTTCTTGTAGTTTGTGTGGATTTTTAGTTTAGTTCAGCATTCCCCAGTGACTTATGGGGACCAATCCTACCCTAAATGGTCTATTGGAATTGGTTGGATGATTGCACTTATATCACTGGTGCCTATTCCTGTTGTAATGGTATATACACTTACAAAGGAAAAAGGAAATTTCTTCGAGGTAAGAGTCTAACACAAAACAGTTAATATACATCCCAGATTGTTTATACAATAAACAATATCAAATGTTTACAACTGTATTAATTTTACTGCAACATATGCACATATATATACAGACCAATGATGTCTCTTCAGTGATGCTCGAATAAAATTAAATGTAAATCCAAAATCTCAATAAATACAACCATGTGCTCTTCTTGCCAATTATCCTTTTGAAAACTTTGCTTTTAGTGAATAGAAGATAATGCTTCATTATAATAATTTTGAAAACTATTCTAAAAAGTTTCCTTTTGAGGAACCTGTACAACATTTTTTTTGCTCACAAAGTGCATGTATGAAGGTACTACTAGTATTCCGATATCAGTTCAAGCACCATCTGTCAAGCTGCAAGCAAAAAGGAATGAAACAACCAAAACCAAACAAAAGCGTGTAAACTCCAAACGTATTAAACTTACTAAGTATGTATCACAAGACATTTAATAAAAAAATCAAAGGATAAGGGGTATCCATTCAGGACACAAATCAGTACATGCACAGCAAAAAACACACAAAACGCTCAAAGTCACATTGATTGCATTAGTACAGTGCAATATGCAACACGTTTTCTTGACTCAGGAAAATGGCAATTGATAAAATAATCATGGCAATATTTATTTTGTTAGATATCAGAATCTTAAGAATCAGAAACTTGATTTTTTGTACATTTATGTAACACTGTTATGACTGATGATTAATTTACCATTTTAAAGAACGATTAATACATTTTTCCAGTTGAAATTTGCGTCAACGTCGATATTCATTTATTAGTGATTTTTCCGACACTAAAACTGTTCTCTCTAAAATATCTATATATATAACTGAACTGATATATTTAGTTGACATTTCCCAACTTTGCATGAGGGTGTAGGAACCTAAGTTTCTTGACAATTTCATAATTTGTCAACCGGGAATTTTATAATAGTATGTTACCAATCATATCAGTAACGAAGCACTGACTACTGAGCTGCTGATACCGTCGGGTATTACTTTGTAACAGTCCAACAGAGTGCGTATCGACATATTGCTAGGAAATGACACTTAAAAAGTAAAAAAGTTCTCACTTTTATCTTTGTAGAGACTTCGACATTCTGTGAAACCGCTTCCTTCCTGGAGACCAGCAAATGACGAAGATATTAATGATAATGCAGAGCTAGAAAAATTAAATTATGTGTCACAAGAAGAGACAAAAACAGTCGTTTAAAACCGAACTGATTGAAATGTAGACCCTTCACTTATAATGATTTGACAATACTATCTAATTATTACATGGCATTTTTCATAGCAGATGTATTATCAGCCCAAGGTTCAATGTCAGCCCAAGAGCCGAAGGATCGAGGGCTGATATTGACCGAGGGCTGATAATACATCTGATATGAAAAATGACATGTTATGATCCTTTTATCATATGCTTCAACAATGGAGAAAAAGAACAGTTTAATATATTGATCCTAGTATTTCTGAAGTAGAAGTTCAAATCTTTTTATCATATATTTCAGCAGAAAAAATACATACAAGAACTATTTTTAAAACTTTGAAAAAATGCATTTTATTGTATCATTTGTTTTGCATTATTCAAAATATATTTTCCTGTTTAATAATATTTGTTTTTGTCTATCCTTTTTTGTTATGTTTTTTCACTGAAAACGTAATATTGAGGTATGTTTTCCGGAATTTGCCGAGTGACACCGAATTGCCATTCGATTAAGTTACGGAAAGGCATGCGATAATAACCGGAAGCAGTTGATAAAGTTTTCATGTCATCCCGCTAAGCAGGAACGGGAACCCAATTACTTTCCCCATTACTTCCGAATGCAATTTTATCCAAATTGAGGGGCAGATTTTTAATTCCCTAAATTAGACTGCAAAATTTAAATTACTTTCTCATACTAGTAGCCCCCTTCATGGTTTCTGGGAGAATTCTTGGAAGGTCATGACCGGCATTTAAGAGAGCAATACTGTTTTGAGTATTAATAGGGTCATTTTATTAACTTCCTAGTTAAAATCGAAAATAAAATTTGGACCATTTACTCAGACAATCATCCACCCTATACATTTCAGAATCACTATAAATTTAACAGAAGTTGAAAGTTTAATGAATACCCTTTAGATATACTACAAATTTAAGCATCTTTACATAATTTTCATCTCGGTACAATATCCCATTTAAAAGATGGTAGATTTATTAAGGGACTTCATTCGTGGGTACTGGACTGGTATCCTTCAACTGGGATCCTATTCCAGCACCATTACGGAAAATATGGAATTTATGTAAATTTAATGCTATTATCATACTGTAAAAATTACAAGTTATTTGCTCTAAGTATATGATAATCCGTTTTACTTATGAAATTTCAGCCTTCATTGTTTTAGAGGTGTGAATCATTTCGATAAAACTAGAGGGTCCCAAAAAGGCTTTAAAACAGAAAGTAGAATGGAGCGTTTGCAGATTCTACGGTAAACGAAGCAGGGACAAAGCATCTGTGTTTCGATCAGATTGGTTTGAAATGTGAATATTTATCAATCTGTATTGTTTATATATTTAATGTTTCAATCAGTAGAAGTTTTCGTATTGTATAACAATAAGACACTACCTACAGAACGTAACTAAAAGTTACCTTGCAATAAGATATCATATTGTACCAGTGCAAATGAAGCTTTAAATTTGTGACTAAGCTGTGACAACCATATGTTTTAAAATGTTTGCTATACAATACAGTGGTTATTACAAGAATATTGGTGAATATTATCCCTCGTAGAATATAATAATATTGAACACTCAAACTCGCGCAATATAAAAATCTACTCGAGGAAAATGTTCACCAATATTTATGCGATTATCCATTTTAATTGTAGAGAAACATAATATTTCCAACAGAAAGTAACACACAAATATAGCTTCAAGTTATCGACGTCATCAGTGACAAACATATTTTTTGTTTTTAACTTTTTCAAGCTTTGATATAAAATAAAAGGTTATTGCATGAAGATTTGTGAATATCATCTCTCGTAGAATATAAAGTGCACTCGCTAGCTCGTGCAATGTAAAAATCTACTCCGGACAATATTCTTACAACAACCTTATAATATTCTAGAATTATATATTTTATAAAGATATATAAATACAATTTTTACCTTGAAATCAAATATATGTAATTTTTTTCTTACACTTTTGTCATTTTTCTCTCAGTAACAATCATTTAAAAAAAAATTTCTGACAACAATTGCGCTTAAGGCAAAACACAGATAACATCCTAAAAATACCAATTGTCGAACTTGCAGTCAAAAGAGACGCAAAATGACGGCAGAGAAAACCTGTTTTCTAAGATGATTTCATGTAACTTAGAATGACTTCAAAAATGAGTCAAATATTGGTTTCTGAGACGCAGATCTTTATTTCTTATTTAACATAACACTAACAAAAAAGGAATTGTGGTTTGGTCGCAAATAAGGCAACATCTTACTGTCCATTTAAGACCAAAGGACAAAGATTGCAACAATAACAGGTCACTGTACGACACTTCAACAATGATTAAAACCATGGCCATACCATGTAGTAAATTATAAAAGACACTGGGCTGAAAAAAATTGAGACAATTCCGAAGAAAATAAACGGCTTGATTTGTTCTACAATAATAAACAAACAAAAAACAAATATAGCAGAGGACAACCAACGACAACCACTGATGAAGAATAACAGACTCCTGACTTGGGACAGGTACATAAAGCATAGATATAGGAAGATGTGGTATGAGTGCCAATGAGACAACTCTCCATCGAAGTTACAATTTATAAAAGTAAACCATTATAGGTCAAGGTACGCCTTTAACACGGAGCATTGGCTCACACCGAACATCAAGCTATAAAGGGCCCCAAAAAATTACTAGTGTAAAACCATGGCGGTTTATAACATGTTTGTGAACGATGAACCCTATTCATGAACTTCTTAACCTAGGACAGTGGTCTAATAACATAACATAGCACAAACTCTATAAATCATTTGCTATGAACTTATCTGATCTGTGCTAAGCACACAAACAAAAAACAAAAGACACGAAATAACTATTATAGTACTTGAAGTTACTGAATGATCATAGTTCAAAGCCCAATTTAAACTTAGACATGCACTTTGTTCTCTTAGACTAAATATCAATATGTATACCTCCAACAGATTTAAAGTAAAGAGGTCAATCTGAGAAAAGCCTGATCACGTCATTTTTCTAAACACACTTCTTCTCATCCTGTTCTATTTGATATATAACATCCAATAATTATCCTTTATTATAGTTAATTTTACGCATTAAATATTTTTTATTTCATACATATCGTTTGCCTATCAGCATGTAAATATAGTTTTAGAACTTTTATTTTTGAACATACTAGGGGGAAGGTTTTATATAAGAGCAATGCTCATATTTCTTAATAATTTGTATATTTCATTACGAGTTCTTTTATAAAATATGTTTACATAAAAGGATTTTTTACACCATACACCATATGGACGTGGTCAAGATTCATAAATCCCAAACAGCCATGCCAATGATGTTCACTCTGGATGGGACATACATCTACATCTTTTACAAATATTACAAATGTTAATACTTTCAAATATAAAATAACAGATCACTTATTGAAATCAACCAGTTGATAACAATATTTTATTAGTATTATTGTTTTAAAACAAATTTATGGATTTCTATAGAACAATATACTTCTGACTCTTACTATAATGTATGCCATGTACTGTATTAAACCAACTTATTTTTTTGGTTACTTTATTTCGCGTTTAGCCCTTTCTTGTCCACTTCGCGGCCATTTAATTTCTCGCTTTTCTAATTTACTTGATGAATTTAAATAAGGAAAGATTTAAGTTTTACATATTCGCGACGATTTATATTCGCGTTACTTTTCTACATGCGAAAGTCGCGAAAATTAGTTGGTTTTAAGGGCATACGATACAGTTACAGGGGAGGTAATGACGTTGCTAACGTAAAATATTATGTTCGCGACGTCAAACTGCGACATATCGGGGCTCGGGGATCTGAACATCCCTTTTTGTTCGGAGGTCTTTTAATATCAATATTAACTTATCATTGAACTTTTACTATTACTAAAATCCTGAAACTTTGTTAAAAATTAATTATTTCCAAAGAATTGTTATACATACTAAGAGCATATTTATGTAAAGAAGATTTTCATAATGTTTTTACAAAAATTCGCTTGTGTTTATCTGTTGAAATAAAAAAGTTAGATGTGTCTATCTAAAGGATAGAAATGTCAAAAAAACCGAAATTTTGAGTAAAATTAATGTCTAAAATTTCGACCCCTTTTATCTCTTTAAGTAGCACATGAAGGCATATTTTTTATTTCATATTTGAATTGCTTAGGTGAAAAATAGCTTGTATGCAAATTTTCGTAAAAAAATCATCGTGGGATCGAAACTGTTTCGTATGCCCTTAAGGTGAGGTGTATGCTATTCTTTGACAAATGCTTCAGGGAAGAATAATTGTATAACAAACTGTATAACCCTTTTGAAATATAGTATTTGTTGTTGTTATACCCCCATGGAATAAGTTTTTTTACCCATCAGTCCAGTCCTGTTCTTGTCATCACAACTTCTCTGAAACCACACAACAGAATTTCAGGACACTTTGTAGATAACAAAGACATATTATGTAGATGTGCAAATCGACAAGAAATTATGATTCAATATTTTTTCTAGGAGTTATGCCCTTTTGAACTAACGGTTTTTGACATAAATATACTACTGCAACTGTTTGTCAGCGCAACTGCTATGAAACCACACAGCACAAGTTCATGAAACTTTGTAGATAATAAGGATATAATATGTAGATATTCATATCCACAAGAACTTTTTATCAGTTCTTATTTATCATTTCACTTTTGTAAGAGTAATGAGTATTTGAACTTAGGAATCTTATGAGACTCTGTTTGGCCAGTGACAATGTGGGGCGCGTGGGATATGTGAGCGTGATCACAAAGGTTATTTCATTGTTATCAATATTAATTGCATCACATAATCTGTTTCATTTTACACATAATTAGTCAATAAATAAAACGTGTACATAATGATAACAACATAAAATATACATACATTATTTACATGATCTTACATTTGTTGGCATGAACAGGTTTTACTGTATTGATACATTGCGTTTAAAAATACCATTAAAAGTGTATGATCAAAGATCAACTAAATTAGATTATTATATATAATATGTTCAGCACTTCGTCCTAATGGTTAAATGAAACGATTTTTTATTGATCTTAGCTGATTGAAAGATTTTGTATCCAGTGTCCGACTGAAAAGTAATATAAATCAACTTCGAAAAAGCGGTCAATCTATATTTGCAACAAGTCGCGTAAAGACTAGACAGTTGTCTGCATTGAACTCAGAAAAGTTCAACGGCCTTGTATACAGAGTGAACGTTACTATCACATAAACTTAGTGAATTGACTGGTGTCAGTAAGAACCCAACAGGAAATCCATACGACTCTAAGTTTGCCTTTCCGCACAGTATACCACCTACAACGCTAGGCTCAAGCTAGCAGCCACTCGCTAGCAGCCACTCCGCTAGCAGCCAGTTTTCAGATATGTCTATAAACCCAAAAGTTGCATAAGACTCAAATGGTTTTTTTTATACTATATATAACGCTTTTTAATTTAACAATCGAAGACACTATGCATGAGTTTAGGGAGGGATCCATGATTTTTGAAGGGAAAATAGGGGGGTTCATTGCCAAAAACAATATGTATGCCGCCGATTGGAGGAATGCAAAAAATTGTTGAACGATTTTATGCCTAAAAAAAGAAGATATTTTTCCTTTTAAAGGGGAGGGTGGCGTACACCCGCCACGCCTAATCTGAATCCGCCACTGAGTTTTACATTTTATTTTCTTGATCAAGAAATAAAAGACATTTGTATATTTTTAGCACACCGCGCTGCACGTTAAAAGAGTGAGATATAAATTAAAACAATGTATAGAACACTACAAGATTGGAGAAATGAGGAATTTCTTTTTTATAACACAATGTTAAGCAACATTTTTCTTTAACAATCTGGGCGGATCCAGGATTTTATGTTAGGGGGGGGGGGGGCGCAAACTTAAATTTTCGCCGAGCGGAGCGAGTCGAAAATTTTTTGAGGTAAAATTATCGAAATAATCTTTATTAAGCTGAAGACAACTCATGCTTTGCAAATTTTAGGGGGGGGGGGGGCACGCCGCCACTCCCCCGCTTGAATCCGCTCTTGCATAAAAAGCATGGAATTGTGAAATAAAAAACAAAAATTTAAAAAAGATATGATTTACCTCCTTTAAAACTCACTACTTTGCAATAATTAGAATATTAAGTCTTCTTTGTTGCGTAAAACAATAAATACTTGTATCATAAGGTGTCAAGGATTTATTTGATGACAACTAATGATCATGTAACAAACAGTTGCAAACATTATATATTATAGGCTTTTTTTAGTTTCATTTTATGCCTATTTCATGAGATTCATTATGAATATTCATAAACTTCGAATAATTAGTTTAACAGAAAAGTGAAAAATAAAGATAAAAATAAATATATCCTATTATGCTTTCATTGCTACAATGTATCACATGTTATATATAACACATAGCTGAGAGGTGATAGAGTAGATTATTACCCCGAGAAAACTTTGTTAACCGCGGCGAAGCCAAGGTTGACAATGCCTTTTCGAAGGGAAACAATCTACTCCATCACCCTTTCAGTTATGTGTTACTTACTTTATTTTACTAAATGTTCTGTTATTATTGTCTGTTAAATTTCAAATTCAAAGAAATAAAATATGACATCTTGTACATAACAGTCATCCCCATTTGGTAAAGCGCATAAATGATCAAGCGTCTCCGTAATAGAGTATTTGCCATGGAATAGAGTAAACTGTCTCCCTCGTATTAACCAATCAGAATCTCGCATTATGACATGAAGTATAATA